AAGTTACTAGGGATGAGGGCTGACTTAAAAAAATTCTAAATGTTTGTGGGCTGAAAGAAGTAGCGGTTGCCATGTATTTCACATGGCATAATCTCCCTTGAATCTGTCCTGGCCAACAGGAATGACCCTGAAATCTGTCAACTTCATTATATTTGATTGTGGTTTGCATTTAGCATCAGAAGAATTTAATTCAAACCCAGAAAAAAGATTATAGAAAACTTGGCAGTGGCCTACTAGTCTGGCTGCTTCCCGAGTAAGTTATCCAGACAGCTAATTTATTCGGAACCCCGTTTTATTCTTTAAGAACATGCTTTGTGCACCCCCAGTTGCTGTACATGAGAAACCCCTATGCTCCTGTCTCAAACCACTCCCTCCACATTTCACTCAATTCCATCCCCTCCGGTGATCCAGAGAGGGGACTCTTGCACTTCTTGCTTCTCTATCTCATATTATCCATTTTTTCCCCCTCATCTCCATCCTTCCCAGTAATGTGCAAGCACAATGTTATTTTGTCCATTTTTAAAGCAACTTACTTCACTTTCCCCTCTGGCTGCAACATGCACTTCTCTGCTTTAAAGCAGTGTCTCTTTTCTCTGCCTATGTTCTCTGTTGACAGTTCCTCAGTTCTTCTTCCCTTCAATCCACTCTTGTTGGACTGTACCTTGCTGTGCTAAACCACTCTTGCCAATCATACCGGTGACCTTGATGTAGCTCATTTTCATTAACTCTCTAGAGTGTGAGATAAAACTGATTCTTCACTTGATTTCCCACAAAATGATTTAACAGAGAGGTAGAGACGGACATGTCTGGGGCAGGGAAGTGGGGTGGGAGGAGAGAGAGAGAGACAGAGACTCTCTCCCACCCTAGTTCACTTTCTCAATGTCCTCAATTGGCATTAGGATATCCAAGTCTCCTACATAGGCGGCAGGGATCCATGCCTGACCCATCAGCACTGCCTCCCAGGGTTCGTATCAGCAGGAACTTGGAATTATGAGCCTGTGTAAAGAATTGAACCCCAGTACCCCAATGTAAGGCATAGGTATCCTATCTGGGGGCTAAATGCCTACTCTTTCCTTTCCTTCTCCTCACTTCTATGGCCCATGCTAAATCCTTGGACTGCTTCCCTACTACTGGAGTTCCCTCCTGGAAATCTCATTTGGTCTCATTTATTTCTGTAGCTTACAGTCCAAGTCCATATATTCAACTTTCTCCTCAATCTCCCAATTTGAATAGCTACCTCCAAATATGCAGGGTTTCCAAAAAATTCATGGAAAATGTGTGTTGAGTAAAACTATATGAATTTCAATAAATTTCTGCATTCATTTTCTTTTAACTTCATTCTTCATGAACTTTTTGAGGTGCCTTCATATGTCTTTCCCTCTGTCATAAACTTCCCAGTTGCAGTGTTAGTGGCAAGGCCATGTTCCAAGCTGTCCAGCCAAAGGCCTTGGAAGTCAGTTTTGGATTATGCTTTCTCTCAAACAGCATATCCAAGCCAAAAGCAACTCCTGCGGACTATACTCACAACATCCAACCAGAGTATGACCACTTCTGCCCTTTTTAGTGCATCTGGTCCATCATCTCTCACCTACTCGATTACAACAGCATTCTTACTGGTCTCCATGCATTTACCCTTCCCTTTTACCATCTGTCCTAAAGTCAACAGCCAAATGTTATTTTGGAAACACAAGTCAAATCAGTCGAAATCATCACAGTGACTTACAAGGCTCTTTATCTGTCCTTTGATTAACCTGACCTCACCTCCAGGATTCTGCTATCCTAGTCTCCTTACTATTCCTGGAATACAACAGACACATTCCTGCCTCAGGGCCTTTGTAGCCACTGTTCCCTATAACCAGAAAATATGTCTTCCAGATGCCCACAACCTTTCTTCCTTCTTTCTCATCGCCCCTAAGCCTGTCCCTGGCTACCACCTTAATAATTTACAATTCCTCTTTCAGCACTCCTTTCACCAGTTTGCTATTTAGGTTTTCTTCACATTACACTTACAATATTCTATTAATGCCATTTAATTGGCTCTTTAGTTTTTCATCGTTAACTGTCCCTCTCCATCACTGTGTACTCTGCAAGAGTGGAATTTTGTCTGTCTTGCTGCTTGCTGTGTCCTTAGGTCCTCAATACTCTTTCCCACTAAAACATCCACCATGTGCTCTTGAGTGACTGCCATGGTTGTTAATGCTTACACATACCCAGCTTTGTGAGAGCACAGTACATACACTTCATGCTAGAAACTGTGCTATCTCTATAAGGAGGATGGAAGAATTGGATAGAAATCTCTTCAGACTTTCTAGTCTTTATACTAATGTATACTAACATTTAAACTCTACAAATAAAAAAATTAGATTGACAGAAATGAGGGCTGTGAAGACTTTCAGTAATCAGCTCTCAAATTCCATGTATTACAGGTGACTGGGGGAAAATTAGTTTCAATAGTTCATCCAGTTTCCTGACTCTGGAGCCGATCCCTGTCTGTTGGGCTATACCATCCCTTCTTCCCTGGAGTTGTCTCCGCTGTCTCTATGATTTCTGCCCAGGATACCATTAGCTGCCTGGCTTCCCTCTGATGCTTCTGCTAACAGACAGTTCTAGGGGCCCAGCCTCCTGCAATTTATGACACAGAGCTCTTCCTTAGGGAACGAAAATCATCTCTAACATGTTAGTATACAGGAGCTGTCCTTGTTAGACCAGTGTGAAAGGTGTCACCAAGGCTCTCCATCTGTCTCTCTCTGCCTTTCAAACAAATAAATATTTTAAAGGTGTCACCATAGTGAAGGTGGAACTGTCAGATTTTATTGACAGATCTCATGTGGACCTGAGAGGCTGGCTGATGTTCTAGAGAGAGAGAAAGCTGTGTGCACCAGAGGGGAAGACTGGGAAATCTCAGATTACAACTTTGTTATGTTTCCTATTGTCTATAGAACAAATGTTAATGAAAAACTTGACTTTAAACTTGCAACACTCTATGTGTTGCTTACTCATTTAAAAGGCAGTCCTTATCACATATTGGTTATATGGCATTAAAAATTATAAATAGATTTAAAATCATATATATAACTATATATATGTATATATAACTCTATATATGTATAAAACATAGTTACAATTCCTCTTTTAAATGACTATTTTTATCCTCAGAATTGGTTGCTGGAGTCCCAAGAGGAGCACAGAATTTTGGATATGTGAGTACTGAGAAAGCACATTGGGATGCTTGCTTTCACGCAACGTGGAAACTTTTAAATCTTTTCTCCATAGTGAGCTCCTCCTGATTAATTATGCTTACTACAAAGGAAGGGAACCAAGAGAGGCTGGATTTATTCTGATCCATGTGCGGAATCTGCTACATTATGAGAAAGGCCTTGTGCAAATAAAAATATGGGACACCCTGTAAAAATTATTAAAACCTTCTAGACAGCGATAGCAGTAAGTTCCACCAATGAGGTCCACTAAGTACAAGGCCCTGCCTGACTGCCCAGCCACACAGCCAGGAAGCCAGCCATATTTTCATGCCCAACCTAAGACTAATGTGGAGGATGCCACTGTCTTGATCAACACTTTAAGATGAGAAAACTTCAAAAAGTTTGTCAAAAAGTGGAAATAGAAGTTTACATTGGTAGAAAAGATTTTTGAAATCCACATACAGCTTTTGCGTAATATTCATTTTCCATAAACTTTCCAAAGATCCTCTAAATGCATGGATTTCAATTTTTTCACACAAAAATAAACTTACTCTTACATTTCCCATGAACAACTTGGAACACATTTGTATGTCTCAAGCAGCAGAACTTTTAAGAAATCAATTGCTAGTTCACCAGCATATTAGTGAAGTGATCACAAAATGGGTGGTTTTTAAGCAACACACATTTATTCTATAATCCTGCAGGCCAAGAATTTGAAATCCAGGTCTGGTCAGGGTCATGCCCCTGTGAAAGCATCCAGAGGAGTGCTTTGGCCTCTTGAGGCATCAGGTGGCTCCTGGCCCTCCTGGTGGCAGCAGAGTGGCAGTCTCCACAGGTGTCCTTGACTGCCTTGATAGGGATCCCCCACCCTTGCAGGAAGGACCTATGTGGAATGAGCTCATCTCAAGACCCTTAATTAATTCCATCTGCCACAAGCCTGGTTTTAAAATAAGGGCAATTCTGGGGTTAATTTAGGGCAGACACTACTCAAGCCATTAGCAGTCTCTAGTACAAATGAACACAATGAAATGAAGAAGAGAAAATAAACTGTATAAAAATAAAATGTTTAAATAGTGTCTATGTTCTCACAAACTTCTAGACATCTTAATGTTTATGGGTTTGGCTGTTTAGAACTAAAAAAGAATGTTTTTGCTATATGGCTAGCATTTCTAATTTGCATTTTTTGGCCAAGAGCTATAATTATTCATTGTCATAATAACAAAAGGACAAAGTGGATTTGGACAAAATTCCTGATGAAATAAATTAACTAACCATCAGGTTAATTACTGTCAGCATTCATAAATTCAACTTCCATTTTCCACTTAGGATTAATAAGCTTGCATTTTGTTTGAAAGCATCCTACAAAATATTTAATTTGCTCAAGTTATCCTTGTAGGTTTGCTTTTTTTTTTTTTTTTTTTTACAAAATAGCTAACCTGTTATCATTCTTTTTTTTTTTGAAAAGACTTATTTATTTTTATTGGAAAGATATACAGAGAGGAAGAGAGACGAAGAGGAAGATCTTCTGTCCGTTGATTTACTCTCTAAGTGACTACCACGGCTGGTACTGAACCAATCCAAAGCCAGGAGCCAGGAGCTTCTTCCGGGTCTCCCACGTGGGTGCAGGGTCCCAAGGCTTTGGGCTGTCCTCAACTGCTTTCCCAGGCAACAAGCAGGGAGCTGGATGGGAAGCGGGATAGAACCGGGTGCCCATATGGGATCCTGGCACATGCAAGGCAAAAACTTTGTCACTAGGCTACCACACTAAGCCCACCTTTTATCATTCTTCATAACAATTTTTAAGTATTGTAAATTGTGCTTTTAGAAAATGTTCTAATTCTGCATCAAATGACATCCCTATATGATTTTTATTTCAGGTTTCAATCATTAACTCTACAGACATGACCTTTATGTACAATTTCACTGGTGAACAGGTAAACACTAAATTCTCATGTACATTAAAAATTCTGCTATTTAAGATGCATGCAAATACATGTGCTTATAATGAATATGTTCTTACTATCTTGGCAATAAATAGTTTCCTAGTGTCTATGTTTAAAAATAGGACAAATCTAGAGCCAATGATCTTATGTTTGTAACTCCTATGGTGACCATTGTAAATATATTACAATTACAGAACTACAATTTAATTTAAAATTAAGTGAAACAAAGCTGGGAAATCAGTAAATATAAAATTAGCCACACTCATTTAATTTCAGCAGATGATATTGCTTTACTCTAATAAATCGCTGCTCACTGTAGAAATGATGATACAGACTGGATGTGGGCCATCAGAATGCCAGCCAGTGAAAACAAGTGCCATAAAAGGCAGTGACCTTGTCCTCTGCCTCCACTGACGCAACAGTATCCAGCACAAAATAGATGCCATGGACCAGACAGCCTGTGCTGAGGGAATTAATGCGTGAAGTACAGAGCAGTGTGTAATAACTCAGTTCTGTTGCTTCTTCTTTATTCCAAACATATGTGTGGGAAATTTTTATTCCTGGTGTGACATCCTGTGGCCTTCACCTACAGGAAATGCATCAAGCCTCTGTTGCTTTGGCCAAGCCTAAAGAAAAGTAGTATTGATGCCATTTAGTTTAAAAAAAAATAACTAACACAACAGCACAGAAATTATTTAACATCTGATCCAGTTGTCCATATCATCTCAAACATGTTTATACAGTTCACCCAAAACTATCTTCAATCAGACCACAAAACGAAAAAATGAGCAATTTTCAAGACAAGCAAATGTCTCTGGGGCATGTATTTCATAGAATCTGAGGTGGGGGGAGGGGTCATCCCACGATCAAAGAGAACTATAGATTTATTCAAATAAAAGGGACCAAGACACAGATACTTCCTGAAATATTTGGAATGATTATAACACTTACATTTCAATGTAGTTGAATTTGATAGTCTTTCTTAGACATTCCTTCCACTTGGACTTATTTTTAAAATAACCTCATATTCCAAATGCAGTGCCACTTCAAATATTCTGTTAGTAGCTAACACTGGACTCAAGTTTTCCAAATGTACTCTTTGTACCCTCCATGGTGCATCTTTGAGATGGCAGAGCTCTTGGCTACCATATGTTGATTTAAAAATGGGAGATAACAAAGATGACCACAGAGGTCATCTTGAAGGCATGACTGAGTAATCCCAGTCATAAGTAGCAGCCTGAGGTAGAGGCGGCACAACTTCAAAATAAGTAGTTAAGACAAAGATGAGCCCCAGTGAGGTCAGCTACCCACAAATCCTTAGTGTTCTGGGGGACAAATGCTCCTGCTGACCTTGTACATGAGAGGCAGAGAGTGAGAGACAGAGAGGAAGCAAGTCAAACAGATCTCCGAAAGCTTCACATTTATGATAATATAATGAATAGCCATAAATGCAGGTGGGGCTTTCTTTCTTCTCCAAAAGTATGTCAGGGTGTTAGCAAAGAATTACAGAAGGGCAGGCTGGGACATACCGCTGGTGGCATTGCAGATTTTCATAGACTTTCTAAATGTCAGGCCACTGAATCAGCAGCACACAGCTGTGCGGGCTGTGTCACTTCAGCTACCATCTTCTGTGTCCCAAGATCAGTCTTGAGACATGCAACTCCTGGAAGTGTGCCGAGTGAGTTCTGGGTGCCTGTCTTTGCAGAGATGACACTGTCTCCTCACATGTCCCATCTTACTGGCCAGAGTCCATGAGCCTGGGTTTCCACCTATCCCTTGCTAGGACCAGAGCCTTCCACTGAGCCATAGGACCATGCGGAGTCCTGGCCAGTTACTGGTCCTTGTCCCTTCCTCCTAGGGAATTGCTATGGTTTCTTACTGTCATTAACTGAGGTCCTGTTATGAAACCAGTTGTCTGCACATGGAACACCACCACCTCCTGGGCTAATGTGGTCTGAGGTCACACATCATTCACCACCCTGGATTGCCTGGATGTTGCAACCTGGTGAAATGTTCCATGTTGCTTATAGCATTGGATGTGGCACCATCTTGTGAACTCTTAGCTAGAAATAGAGAATTTAGGTGATTTATTTGTAAAAGCAGCCACGACAAAAAAACTAACTCTGATAGCAGCATTTTAAAATGAACACAAAATTTATTGAGCTTTGAGTTTTCTACCAAAATTTGGGGTAGAAATAATAATGTTCCTCTGAATCAAGAAAAAGATACATATATGTGTATATATATATTTTATATGTGTATATATATATTTGTGTTATATATATATATAAAACACATCTCTGTGTGAAGACTACACATGTCACAGGAGGAATAAGAAATGTAGTGTGTAAGCAAAGGCACTTGACCTAGCAGCTAAGACCCTAGTTAACATGTTAGCATTCCACATTAGACTATTCGGGCTGTTAGTGTCCCTGGATCCTGATTCCAGCTTCCTGCTAATACACTCTATATAGCCCATGTAATTTGGTTCCCACCACCCATCCACTATGGGACGCTTGAACGGAGTTTTTTGATTTGCCTCTTTGAAGCATTCTTCATGTGAACTATCAGATAGTGTTTCTCTCTCTCTCTCTCTCTCCCCACCCTCCCAACCCCTCCCTACTGATCCCTCCTTCCCTCTCTTTTCCATCAGGCAGTGCAGATGGAAAAGCAGATGCCACTGCCTTCTGTGGAGCATACGTTCTTGTGGCTTGTGTGTGCTGGTGGAATCAGTAGGTGATGGGAGACTGTATCAGCTCAAGTGCTAGATAGCAGGCTATGGAAACACAATTGGCAAGCTAAAATTATGGGCCAGATTTTAAAAAATGATAAATCCTGCAAAAATAGTTCAGAAAATAAAAATCTCAGAGAGGAAACAACATGGGAAGATGGAATAAAAACTTACTTAAACTCCTAAAAGAATTAGGAGCATGTGTGACCTTTGAGTTCAGGTTAAACTGGTACTGAGATGTGGGTTTCTCTCAGTTGAAGAGGAGTTTGATCTTTCAGTAATAGGGAGAACCCAGAGCAAAGAATATAAATCTGACTTCATTCTTCTCGCCGGTGTTCTTGTGACTATCCTCAGTACCATAGATTTTATCATTAATGGGGCTGAAGCTGAGCCACCTGGAAATACAGTCACATGAGACTTCACTATGGAACAGGAACTAGGTTTATTCTGTGACAGTCAGTATTGCAGGATAAGGGGGAATTGGTGACTAGAGGCTGCAGAAGGGCCACATGTAGCAAAAAACATTCCAATGGTGGCTCAACACATTGAATAGGCTGCTTGTTACACATCTCCAGGGGATGTCCGAGCAGATGTGAGGTTAATGTGGGGACAGTCACTCATTGGGTCAGGAGTTAGGCTAAATGACTTGAAGACTCTTCTCATGTCCAAGAGTCGGCAGATTCAAACACAAAAATGCGCCGTGATGAGATTAATCTTTCAGGAATAATTGAGGAGGAACTATAAAAAAACCAATGTTTTGAACATAAAAGGTCGTCTTATGGTTTTCCTTTGCAGATGGCGTCGTATTTTGGATATACTGTTGTAGTGTCAGATGTTAACAATGACGGGTAAGTTTATAAGACCTTCCTCGCTCATTGTACATTATATTCCTCCATAAAGACATTATGGTTTTCCTTCCGGAGTTCCTCGGCAAAATAGAGGCTCTCTTGTTTGAGCTTTTTTGATTTAGTACAAGAGGATGCATCTATTAAAGAATTCTCTGTCATCCTGTTTTATGACTTTGCTGAGATTTTCTACATCTGCCACTTCTAGAAGAGGCTATTTTATTTAGTCTTTTTTTTTTTTTAATTTTATGAAGTGAATAGCACTTGTCCATTTCAAATCAATAGCTGTCTCCAGAGTTTTCCCTATAGGGTTGATACATTCATAAAGCACTTGACATAAGTGGATGTTTCCCCCCTGATACCAATTTAAGCAGTGTACTAGTAATGTCCCTGGAGAAGATTAAATAGCAGTATATTTTATTAGACTGGGGCAAAATTACAGTTGAATTTGGGCCAGGCAGGGTGAAAAATTATGGTTCACCACTATTACTTCAAAATAAATTATAATGAAGTACCAGGTAAATTAATGAATCAAGTAAGAATGTCACTAGGTTGAAATGCAGTGATTGGCCATCCAACAGATATTGTGTTGGATGCATGCAAGGCATTATCTTCTATGACTAGAATACTGTGCAAAGTGAGTAAGACAGACTGGGTCTCTATCCTTGTAGAGTTCACATTTTCATATAAATTAAGTTTCAGGAGAATCCGCATAATGATCCTGAATGTAGGTTATGCATTTTCAATAAATGCTGGGTGGAAATTTGTATAGCTAGAAACCTCCTTAATGTATTCAGTTAGGCAGATAAATTTATTCACTTTCATACATTTGGGAAAATGTCCTTTTTATGTTTTTCTTGAGCATGTATATATAACATTTATTTCTTGAGCATTGGTTCTGCACTAGTCCTGGGTGTTGGGATGAAAAGAAAAAAAAGTGACAGCTGAAAGCAGCAAGTTGTTCTTGGATAGATGAGTAGGTAAACAGCCCACACCACATTTAGACAGTGAGGATTTTCTCAGCGCTAAAAAGAAATGAGCTCTCTAGACCTAAAAATATGGAGCAACTTTAAATGCCTATCACTAAGTGAAAGGAACCAATCTGAAAAGGCCATATACTCTATGGGCCCGAGTACGTGACACACTGGAAAGGGCAAACTATGGAACTAGCAAGAGGCTTGCTGTTTGCCAGAGGTTCTGGAGAGGGAAGGAGGGATTGCTAAGAGGAAAACAATGAATCTTCCTTCAGTGACACCGGAGTCTAAGATCCTGCACTGAGTGGATACGTGTAATTAGACATTTACTTACACTCAATAGCAGTGAAGTCAATGGAAGCTGCAGACTTTAGTTGAGAATGAATGATGTTTGAATATAGTTTGTGCATTGTAACAAATGCATGATTCTGGTGAGGAATGTGATTTTAGGAAAGGCTCAGAGGAAGGGATATTCTGAGATCTGTGTGCTTTCCTACTACATCCTCTTTGAATCTTAAACTGCCCTGAAAAGTAAAGTCTACTGATTACAAACAAAAAGAGAAAAGAGAGGAGGAATATCAGCAAGGATTCAACTTTAAATCCCATAGATTGGAATGCCTCAGCAGTACAGTTACAGTAGGTTACAGTTGAGGAAAAATCTAGAGAAATAAGGATAATGTGATGAAAATGGAGGGCGAGGAAAATGGAGAGGGAGGTGAAGGAGGAGGAGGAGGAATGAATCCCTATATTTACAAAATTGTCATGGAAAGTAACAGTGAAAATAAATGAGGAAACAAGCCATGGTGCCTGGAGAAGGGTGAGCAAACTGTTCCCGGCAGAAGAGCCCAGGCCCAGAGGTGGATGCTAAGCTGTAGCTTAGAAGCAAAGAGGCAGGAAGAGACAGTCATGGGGAATGGAGCCCACTACATTTACTCCCCACTCTCCATGTAGTCCCTCCATGTGCACTCTCCATGTAGTACTCTCCATTACTGCCCTGGAGCACAATGAGTCTGTTTCCAACCTCCTGTGTGCCACAAAGGATTTCCAAGTAGCCTGCCAAGACTTGCATCCTAGCAAGTAGTCTCTGTCCATCTGGATTTTTTGGAGCCTGGGGTCATGCACCAGGTGAGGCAAGACTGGGGCTTGATCAGTGCTTGCAGTGTGGGGAGGCAGGAGTAATTGCACTTTGAATGTATTTGGAAAGTTTAAGTGAATGCCCATATTATTCTGGAAGCAGGTGATTTAAAATTAAATTGCCAGGGCAAATATTTAACCTAGTGTTCAAGTTGCTAGTTAATAGGCCTGTTTGCTCTCAGGTTTGAATCCTAGCTCTGACTCCTCACTCCAACTTCCCGCTAATGCAGACCCAGGGAGACAGAGGGATGCTCAAACAGCTGGGTTGCTGCTACTCACAGGATTGATTTCCCAGGTTCATTTAGTGAGCCTGCACATGGAAATGTTTCTCTTTCTCTATCCTTCTCTTTCTCTCTGTTAAATAAGTCAACAAATAGACAAATAGTATTTTCTTAACTGGTTATCTTTGTTACAAAAAGCAAGCAAGCATGACTATCAACATTCAAGATTTCCCAGTTGGATGGCCTGTAATCAAGGTGTTTTAGGAAGAAAAGCTTGAAGCTAAAACATGGCCTGCTATCTAAACTCAGCAGGCCCATTCTGTGGAGCAACAGAATACTCTGATGGCCTTTTGCAGGTATAGACAGTGATGGGCTCAGCAGATCCTCTACAAGCTCAAGGAACCTCACAGACAGCTGCCTTCAGGCTTGCCCCAGGCAGGCTCTGGATCCACTCCACTGGTCTACCAGGCTCACTCCCAGGTGTGAATCTGTATAGCTTTTCCCAGGCTTTATAATAGTCCTTCCAGGAAATAAGATTATTCTCACCTGTGGCAAAGTTTTGTGACAATGTTTATATTTTACATTTTTTTGGCCATGTCAAGAAAAAATAAAAGTTTAAGGAAAGGAATCCATTGGCCTTTTGATAACCATCAAATAATATTATAAAAGATACAGGTATTTTTTAATGATAATTTTTCTCTTGATGTTCTTAAAATTGAATTGCTTTTTATTTCCCTTATAGTCAGTAGTATATTCTGATTACATTAGACTATGCTAACTTGGTATTTCCATTTTTAAAAGTAAAGCACTTATAAGATTCTCAGTCTGAACATAATTTGCTGTTGTTAATTATTTAGATGCTATGAAAAGTTAGGGTTCCTATTATAAATAAGTACATTCTTGAAGCAATTGAGAGTGATCAAAGAAAGATCCCAGATAAAGACATAGAACTCAAGTGAAATCTGACACTGTAATGATGGGGATAGCTATTTAGAGAGAGAATAAGCAGCTTTAAGAATATGACGTGGCTAGGTGATTATTCATGGCTCAGAAGTGAACACCTCCTGCCTTGGTACACACCTGTGTGACACAGATTCTCTTTTCTCCAAACAGAAGATAAGTGTTACTGTGCATGAGGCTACCTCCGGAACATACTTTGACAATATGCATCACCTATATTCACTCTGCAACCAAAGCAAAATGCTGACAACTGCAAAAATCACAGTACACAGTTGGGGGTGGAGGAGAGGTGGTGTCCTCAAGCAAAGGGACCAGAGAAGCAGCAAATTGGTGGACATTCTTTTGCATTTACTCAGAAAGCAGATTGCAAAAGTTTAAACGCAGTTGTGCGCATGCTTGTGGGTGGTTGATGCTGTCAAGGCTGAGACAATTTTGAGAATATAAACAAACTGACAAAATTAACTGAAGTTCAGTTATGTTAAGACAGCCAGTGCTGCGAACTCTGTCAGTGTTAACTCTGTGAGAAATTTCAGGACAAACTTGATAGCTGCAAGTGGAGACAGGAAATGGCATATTTCGTGTTGTGCCTAAACAAGCAAAGCTGGTTTATTGGTTTGTTTATTTTTTCCTTACGGCTTCTTCTTCTTCTTCTTTGGTCTTTTTCCTCTACTCGGGCATTTTAGGAATATACTTTGTATGCAGCGAAGTCATACTTACAAAGCACTTGCGTTTTCCAAATCGTATTTGACAGATTACACCACTTGCCTCATTATTCACATACAGAATATTTAAAACATAGCAATGTCTTCCATAAGCACTATTGAATTATCAGGCTATAAAGGGAAAAACAGCTCCCAGGAAGGACTGTTTCGCACAGAGAGAGAGGGGGTTGGTGTGGGAGTGAGAAAGATTCCTCTCTGTCTGTCTGCCTTTCAAATAAAATGATCCACATTTTAAAAACAGAACAAGACATCGATTGACTCAAATGGCAAAATGATTTTAGTGAAACCACATCATTAAAACTATTCTCCATCATTGCTCCTTTCTGAGGTTAGAATATGCACATTAGTGTATCTGCATACATGTAACTATGTATGAGTTTGTGTGCGTAATAAATACATGAATATATATTCTCAGAACAGCACCCCATTTGTTAAGATTTAAATCAGCTACTTATTATAAAGAGGAAAAAATACCATCTTTACTAATAAATATTTTAAAATATTGGATATAATAAAACAGGATTTGACAGATTTTGAAATAGCTTCATGGCACACATGCCACACAGCAGAGTTTTCTACCACTTTTGCCTACCAGTAGAGGCACAAGCACACAGAACTGAAATGAGAAGTTTTACAAACTATTTACCCATATTTTGTATAGTGAATTCTATTTGCAGTTATTGTATTTTATTTCATTCAAGTAAATTAGTGGTTGAGACTAATTAAATAGAGTTCATAATACAATTCATAATTCAAACAAGCATTACAAATCAAAATCTTGAAAACACCAGCCTAAACAATAGTATATAGCATGACTCTTAAATGGTGTTGCTGAAATAAATAATATTTACACCAAGGGCAAAATATTCTGCAAGTCACGTTGTATCAACTGAATTGAAAACAGCTACTGTGTGTCAGTTTATGGGAACATAGCTCTAAATTGAGAACAAATGCTTCTTTCTCTTCTTTGCAGCTTAGCACATTTAGGGACCTTATATTTAAGTGTCTAGGGATGTATATTTCTGAGAAAATAATCAATGCTGTAAATTTCTCCTAGAATCCAAGTATCCCTTGAATGTGCTGGTCTTTTCCAAAGAGAGGCCTAATCATTTCCCATTTCTAGAACTCAGGGTTCTCAGTGAAAAATGTACTGAGCCCATTGTGTCCAGTTTACACCCTTAGGAACCAATTATGTAGCCTTGTTCCTTCTCTGTAGACTAGAAAATGAGCCTGCATGATCTCTTCAATGGGAAACCATTGACTGCAGATGTTGTACTTTGGGGTATCAAGGCTGCTGCACACACAGTTAAGTATTTAACAAGTGTCTCTTGTGTTGTCCAGCAATAAAAGCACAAAGAGAAATACCTGGGTCTTCTCCAAGGAAAAGTAGGGGGCTGGAACAGTTCACAGCCGTGCTTTCTTCTCAGTCTGCAACACCACAGGATGTCAAAGGATGGGACCTGTTTCAAGTAAACATATTTGGGACATTTGTAGTAAAACACTGTGCCTAACTTTAGCAATTCAACTTGTGTTTAGGAATTTGAGACTTTGAAATGATAGCCAATCCTCAGGTCAGCCTGTCCCACAGTCCCTGGTCCTTGTTACTGGTTAGTCAATCAGAAATGGCTCAAGGTGTTTTTCCATGCTTAATCTTTCACTGTTGGTAGACAAAAAGAGCATAGAGTATAAACAGCTCTCAGTTCCAGGCAATCCCAGAGCTATTTTTCATCTTGTTTCTGGCTTCCACAATGTGTAGGAAAGGAAAATGCATTTTGCATTTTAAACAGGACCTTCTGTTTGCATTGGTATAATATTGTAAATTTCTTTAAATTGTTACAATATTTTCATAAGACTTAATCATTTATTAAATACTACTTTTGTGTTTGTGTGAGAATGTGTATGAGAACGACAGGAGAGAGGGAGAAGGAAAGAAAGAAAAGGAGAAGGAAAGGGATCTTAAGTGATAAAATAACTTATTCCTGGAGCCAGTGAGGTGGCTCAACTAACTACTCCATCTTCAAGTGACACATCCCATACGTGCACCAGTATGTGTCCCGGCTGCTCCACTTTCCATTCAGCTCCCTGCTTGTGACCTGGGAAAGCAGTAGAGGATAGCCCAAAGCCTTGGGATCCCACTCAGAGGAAGCTCCCAGATCCTAGGTTTAGATCTGCTCAGTTCTGGCTGTTGTTGTCAGTTGGGGAGTGAAACAACAGTTGGAAGATCTTTTTGTCTCTCTTCTCTATAAATCTGCCCTTCCAATAAAAGTCAATAATAAAAAAAAAACGTATTCAGATATTGTCTACATAATAGAAAAGTAATGTAACTTCATTATGGCACTGCTAGTTAGTTGAAGAGTTAAGTGTAGCAGCTGGTTCTAATCCTGGCAGTCCCGCTTCCCATGCAGCTCGCTGCTTGTGGCCTAGGAAAGCAGTCAAGGATGGCCCAAAGCCTTGAGATCCTGCACCCGCGTGGGAGACCCGGAAGAGCTCCTGGCTCCTGGCTTTGTATTGGCTCAGCTCTGGCTGTTACAGCCACTTGGGGAATGAACCATTGGACAGAAGGTCTTCCTCTCTGTCTCTCCTCCTCTCTCTATACATATATGACTTTCCAATAAAAATAAATAAATCTTTTTTAAAAAAGAGCTAAGTTTTAAATGGTGTTAAATATGGGCCAAAACTTGTTCTCGAATTATCTGAACTCGCCTTTTCCAATTATCTTTTTTTTTTGTATATAATCAGCAGAATCTATTTTTAGAGCACTTTTAGGTTAACAGAAAAACTGACCAGAAAGTACACAGTTTCTGTATGGTCTCCGTCCCATCTACCTTAAATGTCCCACGTTCCTAGCATCTTATCTGATGTGATCCATTTGTTACAACCGGTGGACCTACAGTGATACATTAACAAAAGATCATAGTTTACATTAAGAGTCACTTTTTGTGTTACAGTGTTCTATGATTTTTTCCAAATATACAATGGCATGTGGTTACCATCACAGAAACATCCAGATGAGTTTCCCTGTTCTAACAGTCCTCTATGCTCCTCCAGCTTATCTCCCTCCTATCTCCCTGGCAACCAGTGATATTTTTACCATTTCCATTGTTAACCTTTTATAGAATGTCAAATAGTTGGAATCATGTACTATGTAAATTTTCCAGACTGATTTTGTTCATTTAGCAGTAGGCCTTTAAGTTCCCTCCAAGTTGTTTCTGGTTTGGGAACTTCATTTCCTTTAAATGTTGGAAAACATTCTATTGTGTGGCATACCAAGCTTTGCTTATCAATCACCAGCTGAAAGACATGCTGGTTGCATCTAAGTTTTGGCAATCATGCTGTACTTACTTGTGTGCAAGTTTTTACATAGACAAATGTTTTAAACTCCTTTGGGTAACTACTATTGCAAGATCATATGTAGTAAAATCCCAAGTTAGCTTTATAACAAACTCCTCTTTCCTCTTCTAAACCGACTCCATCATTTTCCATTTCCACTTGCAGTGAGGGAGAGATCTTCATTCTCCCAATGTTTGATGACAGCGTGTTGGATTTTATCTGTTCTCAGAAATTTGGAGTAGCAACTCCTTGTTTCAATTGGCATTTCTTAATTGAAAAATGACACTGAGCATCTTTTCGCCTCCTTCATTGCCATCCTCATTTTTAAAGTGAAGTTTCTGCAGATCTTTAATTGGCTTGTTTTCATATAGTTCTTGTCCATACAGACTATAGCAATAATATGCAAGCCTTAAATTATAGCAATCTTTTGAAATGTACAGAAAATGAATATTATGAAAAGTCTATGTATAGATTTCCCCCCCGATGCCCTCAAATGTATTCTTTCATTCCATTTTCTCATAAACGTTTTGAAGTGTTCTTGAAATGTTGTATAAGACAGCAATACAATCTATGTTATTTTTACGCTGTTTCCTTATATTGTTGAGTCTTAATAATTCTTTGTATATTTAGTTTCCAATCAAATATATTTCACCACTCTCCCCCCCCCAGCACATCACCTACCTGGAGCACTCAGGTTTTTTGCCCTGCTCACAACTGTGACCCCTGGAGCACCAGCTTCCTCTAGCCCTCCTGGGCTAATGCTGTCTCCTTCATGGAACCTTTCTGAAGTCCCTCACCCAGCCTACTCACTGTCTGGGATCTCCAGCTCTAATTCAAATGCCATAGTATTTCCCCCAGACTCCTTTCTTTGCAGTTACATGAGTAGCAATGTAACATTACTGGTACATTGGTTAAATACCTAATTTGTTGACCTAGTAGTAGTGTGTTTTTAAAGTCATGTAACGCCATGCTAAACATGGTAGGATATAGGATGTTTGTTGACCTGAGACTAAGAAGTAGAAGGGGAAGAATACCACTGGGAAGGCAGGAAGCACAAGAGGGGGCAGTTACCACAAGCTTAGGGTACCCTGCAGATGGCTCAGGTCTTCAAGGAATTTCTTGCTCTCAGTAGCTATTCTCATCTCACCCCTTCCTTTTGCTATCAATGATCAAAAATGTAGATCAGATGAATAGTTATACAAATTGTAGGCAAACTGTGATTGGCTTTTTAAAAATGTGTTTCTGTATCTTTAATATGTTTTCTGTGTAACTAGTTTCTGGAGATGCACTAAAAAGCCTAAATGAGTGAGATATCTGATTTTCTTAACATAATACCATCTCTCATTTTCTTAGAGCATCTTTTCATAGACATGAGAAAGCAAGGAAAGGAATATGAGGATTATAAAGTGACCCCCAGAAAAGAAAAAATACCAATTAATAGATTACACATGCACCAAAAAGAAGCTCATCTGTGCTAACTCACTGTCCTCTCTCTGTTTCCTACAGAATGGATGACATACTGATTGGGGCACCGCTGTTTATGGAGCGTGAGTTTGAGAGTAGTCCTAGAGAAGTAGGGCAGATCTACCTGTACCTGCAAGTGGGTATGCTCTTTTTCCGAGACCCACAGATCCTCACGGGCACCGAGACCTTTGGGAGGTTTGGAAGTGCTGTGGCGCACTTGGGGGACCTGAACCAAGATGGATACAATGGTAAGTGAATCTGCAGAGAAGTCTGATGTGTCATAATTTCCTGCTAATGTTGCCTATAGGAAACAGTGGACATCTTTCAGCATTCACGGCAGTGTGTGGGGCACTCATGTTATTAGTGATTCTTCATCTGCAAGCAACTTGAAGCTATTACAGAGTGATTGATTTAGGGTATCCTAGAACAGCTTCAGTAGTAATGACAAATATTTTTTTTTAATGAATGTTAGGGTTTAATCACTTGCAAAGAATTAGAGACCCTTTGAGAAGCAGGACAAATCAATGTATCTTGATATATTGGCACATGCACATTGCCTTATGATTAAACACTATGCTTAAGGGATAAATTGTGCTAAGTTCCATTATTTTGTAAACCTCAGTTTAGAGGGAATTTCAATGTTTGTAATAAAATAGTATTAAAAGCTTAGTTTAGGCTTGTGGTTTTGCTTCAAGTGAGGTGTTTGAAACAGTCTTTTCTCAGAAAAAAAAAACATGCATGCCCACACAAAGTTTTACAAACATTTTTGGAATCTTTAAGAACCAAGGTACAGTGCATTTCCTGTTTCAAGAGTTGTTATTCTTTGCCTAAGGAGTATTCATCTCCTTTGGCAAGTGTTATTTTCCTCACATGATTTTTATTAAAAAAAAAAACCAGACAGTTCTCAGCAATGTCTGTTTAGGTAATTTCTAAAGCACCACAAATTATAAGTGCAAGCGTACCCTGAGTGACTTGCCCCTATCACAGTCATTCAAATGAAATAAATAATACCAAATTGTCTAGGAACTTGTCTTTTTCATCTATCTTCTTCTATTTGCCCTTTTCTCTCAGATCCTGAATAATGTTTTTTCAGCACAAAGAGGAGAACTTTCAGTAACATCAAAAGAGGTTCAGAGCTTTGCTAGGGCAACTGTTCCTGTATGTAAAGCAGACTCTCTGAGATTAAATAGTTGGATATGAAGTTTCTGATTTAGCAAACATGAAGAAAATACTCCTTGCTATCACCTACCATGAGGCAGTATCATTCTTTTCTTGAGCACCTGGAGTTCTGTGTCCATTTGCCTTTAGCTCTTAGGGCAAGATGGAGTTCTGGTCCTCATTAATGTCATGAGAGTTGAGGCATGCTTTGTTCAGTCTGATCCAAGGTCCTGATAAAAAAAAGGAAGTGAGGACAGATGAGAACACCTACTGTAGCCCACCATGGGAGGCTGCTAGAGATTGTGGTATTACTAGAATTACCTTCCAAATACAGTGAAGAACTCATGTTTGTTGTTTAGGACAGTCCTGACAATCAGGTGTGTAGACAGCATATTTAAGTCATTGCTGGGTTTTGTGGCTTTGTCTCAGTTACTAAATATTCTCAATTGTAAAATGCGTTGCTTAGCTCATGAGACTGGGTAATTACAAAATGACATCAGGGGTTTCTTTTGTTTGTTTGTTTTTGTTCATTTCTGGAAACAAGGAACCCCCAGGTAGCTGGCAAAGGGCCTTCCTTGATCCACTCAGCCCTGCAACTTGAGCTTGAAAGTGACTCTTTCCTGAACTGAGTTTCCACATGCATTGGCCCCAGACTGCTCTTTAAACAGACCACGTCCTTCTCCCTTTGGGCCTTTGCAGCCATTACTTCTGAGCTCCACATGGTTGGCTCCTTCTTGTCCCTTGATTTCAATGTAAACGCCAGCCACAGACACTTTGTGTGACTGCCTCATTCCAAACTAGCAATCCTCCACCAGACCAAAGATTCTGAACATAGCATTTATGGATTGATACTTTTTGATTGGTTTTCAACCCAAATAGTCTAGTACCACTAGAATATTTGTAAAAGCAAGAATTTTGAGTTTCTCATTCATTGTTGTGCCCACTGCCCCAGGCACTCAGCAGACACTCAGTATTTGTTGAGTGTGCAAAAGACATCAAATACATTAGTGTTGCTATAGAACTATAGAATTCTCATGGAAAAACGTAAGATTTGGTTCTGCATATTTCTTTTTTATTATATTTAGACCTATTTCTAAAAGCTTCTTTATTTTTAAAAATGTCTCTGTAGACATAGCCATTGGTGTGCCTTTTGCGGGCCAGGACCAAAGAGGCAAAGTGCTGATTTACAATGGGAACCAGGATGGCTTAAACATCAAGCCTTCCCAAACTCTGGAAGGAGTTTGGGCCTCACAGGCTGTGCCTTCAGGATTTGGCTTCACTTTACGAGGCGACTCCGACATAGACAAGAATGATTATCCAGGTAAGTTTTCTTTTTTTTTTTTTTCCCCACAGGATAATTCACTTCCTGGAAAACAGCTTGGAAAATGCATCATGCCTACCTGGTTCACCACTAACGCCAAAGGCTAAGATTTAACATAGCACAGGAGTTTGGGGTATGAGTCCAGAGTGACTTTTAGGGAATGCGAAGAAGACAAAACAGCCTGTTTCTTATGAAGAGACAACATTAGCAAAGTAAGATGGCTTACCAAGCTGCTTTGGGCATAAAACTCGTCAACTTTTCAACCCATGTTTCCATTAGAAACCTCTTAGTGGTTTGCTCTCCATTAACAAAGGAAGCTTGCATCAGATCCCTGTCTTAAGCAATTCATTAAGTGTATGAGCCTCAACATTTTTGTCATAAAGCTCATGTTTTACAGCATGCATATTTTCCAGTCACATTCCAGGTTTTTTCAAAGATAGATGGAGTATTTCTGAGTGGAATAAAAAAATGAATTCATGATCAGCATCATAAACTACTCTTGATTACCTACTTCTTGTTGAGAATGCCTGAAAATCTGTAAAGAAATAGATAACTTACACATTGTGCCTGCTATATGAATATAATAATTTGGATGATTTTAGTAATTAAGGTTTTTAGCAAAGAACATTGGATTTCTTAGGTTTCTGAGCTAAATCTTCACTTCTATGTGGGTGATTTCAACATGACTTTAATAAAGACTTAGAAGTCATTAACAGTTAACTGACAGTTTCAACTATTTATTAAAACCTTGTCTCTTTCCACTACCCTCTCCCATAATTAAAAATTTCCATATGTAGAACTTTTGTTGATTTGGGGCAGCTGTCCAATGAACTGACTGCCTAAATATACATCATTAATCTCACTCCATTGGCTTTCTTTTCTCCTCTGAGATTAGGCCAAAGAGTACCAAAACATATTCTTAAACCATGCCAGAAACCTTTCATGATACTAATTCAGACATCATAGCTGATGCAAAGCCTCTTTGGTACTATATAATATGTTAACACTTTCTATCTGCAGCAATTTCAAAAGCATTTAAATTTCTTTTTTAGGTTATATAATAGTGTAATCAATGATGGCTAGTTGATTATGGGCAGGGGTCTTACACATACTATATCCTAATTTTAAGTAATTTAAAAATATAATTTTCTTATGTGACTTCTGCACCCAAAATGTGCTTAGAGTGATTAAAGAATCTCAATCCTTGGGTTGCAATTTCAGATAAACAGTTACTTTAAAAAGTTACTGCTATGCATTATGCTTGTCATAGGATTCCTTTTCTGCCTTTAAGTACCAGGAAACTGGACAGACAACATGACTGTGCCTTCCAGAAGGCCAAGGTTTAAGGGTACATATCAATCAAATAGTTAGTTCATTAACTTCCTGTGATAGGTAAATATGTCCCAAATGACAATTAAAATAAAGAAATTTTTCTCTTAGGAAATAGGAGTGTGCTTTAAAAAACTAGAAGACAACGGAATTCAAAGATAAGTTTATATTGGTTCCAAGTAATTATGAAATCTGTATGCGAGGGGTCTTCAAAAAGTACATGGAAATGAATATTTTGTGGGAAAAAATCCTTATGTTCACTGAAGTGTTACTGGAGCTTTTGTGGCTGATCCACAGTTGGAATAGTGAATTCCACTCAAAAGTTACTGTGTACTAGCCCTCCACTCTCCACCCAGACCCCTGGCTTGTCCTGTCGTAGCCTTCTTTGGTCCACCATTACCAAGCAACTTTTGGGACTCAGGTAAGGCTTTGCCTGCAGAGTGGCGAAAGCCTCGTTTACTCCAAAGATAATTGAGTGGCATGCTTTCCAAATAGACCCAACTTCATTTTATAAACTCTATGCTCTAATCCTCTGTAGCTTAGCTTATGATTTTCCAATCCAGTCCTTTTTGGAACTTGAAACAGAAGACAATTTTCTTTCTCTCACATCAGAAGACTTTTGTCTTCTGATTCTGATGTCATCTGAGTTTCAAAATCTGCTCAATAAGTTGACTTTCTTCTTGTACGTCATTCATCTTGATATGCACTGGTTCTCAACCTTGGCTGCACATTAAAATCACCTGAGGAGATTGAAAAAGTTCTAAGCTCAGATACAATTAAATCTAATAAATACAGATGGAATCCTTGGGTATGGGCATGTAACTTTAGGGGTGTATTAAAGTGATTGGGCGATTCTAGTCATGTCCAACCACACTGGGAACTAGTCTTCCAGAGCTGTGCCTTCCCCATCTTCACATGCATATAGATCAGCTGGACACCTTTCTAAAACATGCGCCTGATTCAGTCAGCCAGGTGGGTAGGGGCAGGATTCTTCATTTCCGACAAGCCTCCAGGTGCAGCTGGAGCAGTGGTGCTGCTGCCTTTCATACCACATCTAGTATTGAATTTGTGAATCAGTCATGGTGGTTCTGAAATGCACATTCTAATCCTTTGCTGAGCCTGATGCTACATGTGGAGTACATGGCAACACTTGGATATGTTGAAGACCAACTCTGGTAGGGGCTCAGATATCTAGGATCTTACCCAGTGCTCTGCTTTGGGGAACACTGCCTGAGAATCTTTGGGGGTCTCACATCTATATTAATCAAATATGCTCTTTTTTCCCATTTGGCAAGAATTTGTTAGCTAAGGTCAGACAATTCTTTTATCTTTTCCCAGGGTAACAAACCATTGTCTGCTTCAGGTGACCTCAGTGTGGTGATTCTACTCTGATGGTTGGACATACCATGTACAGTGGTCCCTGAGGAGACCACTGAAAAGCTCAGAAACAAATGTTTCATTTTTTTCTTTATGCACTGCTCCTTTACATTTCCTGAAGGTTGCCTGTGTATTTAAAAAGGATACTTCACTGGGACAGGCAGTTGGCGGAGTTTGGTCTGCTGACTAAGACACCACTTGGGATACCCACAGTATCTATATCAGAGAATATGGGTTTGAGTTCCAGCTCCACTCCTCTTAACAGATTCCTGCTAATGCACACCTTGGGAAGCAGAAGGTGAAGACAATGGCTCAGATTCTTGAATTCCTGTCACCCGCATGGGAGACTCACCCACTTGGACTGAGTTCTGAGCTCCAGTTCCTACCTTCAAGCTTTAGCTTGGATCAACTCCAGCTGTGCAGGTACTTGGAGGCATGAACAAGAAGATAGGCTATGTATTTCTCTATTTTCCTCTCAAGTAAATATTTTAGATAATGAATTATTGACTATGATATTTGTTAGGAATAAACAGGACTTGACACATAGAGTATTCATAATTAGGTCACAGGGATATCTCAAAGACCTTACCAGTTTCTGGTCAAGACTGAGGCCTGAGATGGTGAGAACCAATCTCTGTGTCTTTCTCTTTTCCATCTCTCTGATCTCTCTGAGAACATGGTAAGCTGCTTCTGCCCCATGCCTCCTGAACTTACATGGTACAGCTGTTGTCCAGTTGTCCTATCAGATACCCATTTTGGCTACCTTGTAAGATGTGACAAAACAAAAATGGCCCTAGGAAGTAACAATCACTGTTTTTTTTTAAATGAAGAAAACCATTGAAAGGAATGTATAACTTCTTTTTTAAAGCAATATGCTAAAAATGAATCTATTTGCTCAGCATTGTTTTTTATGACTATTCCTTGAGTAGCAAGATCTACAAAACAAAGTCATACCTTCATCCAGTAAAAAAAAATAGTGTGTATTACCTTTTCCTAAGTAGTAAACACTGTACTGAAAGTTGGTGATTTGGAGATGAAAACAGTGGGCAAGGCACTGCCTCTACAGAGCCACATTCTGGATAAGAAAGACAGGTAGTTAAGCCAAGACTGCAAAAATGTTGCTTCATTGGATGAAGTTGAGCTTCATGTCAGGAGGCCATCCCTGCCTATGGAAGACCTCTAAGTTGACCTTGTATAAAACTAGAAAGCAACTGTGGAGTGGTACAGGTGGGAGGAATAACAGGTATGTAAGTCCAGAATTAATAAGAAAGCAAGGCCTCCTGGAACAGTGGAGAAACATTCTGAATTTCTGGTTTGTAGACTGAGAATGAGGTTGGAGATGGAAATTGGGCCAGTCTGAAAGGCCATTTTTGCTTTGGACTCACCAAATTATGTTCAAGATATGAAAGGTGGGACAGTCTTTGCACTGCATGGTTATTGCTTTTCTTAGCTGGTTCCTTGGCTTTCTCTAGGAAAATCCAAGAAACATCGGAATTTGCAAATTTATGAAGTAGTTGATGGAGACTTAAATGAAAAAAAAATTGGGCTAAAATAACTAGAATAACCTTCATATCTGAGATGTGTTGCTTAGGAAAGAAGGAAGTTCATTTTGACTTGTAGGTCTGGAGTCTTGGGGTACAATTAGGCAGGCTCAACTGGTTTGGTCTTTCCATCAGGCTGCTGTGGCATGTGTTGAGCAGGGATCAAGTGGTGCAATAGGAAGCAGGGAGAGCAGCTGGGGCTGATGCAGGCTTGGTAACCAACTGTCTTCCAAGGTCTGCCTTCCAAGGGTGTGCCCCAGTGACCTATGACCTGACTGTAACCTCTGAAATACCATAAATGGATTGTCTCCACCTTCAGAAACATGATCTTATAATTTTGGAGTTTAAACCTTTGCATAAATGGAGAGCCAAATCATCCTCAAGCTATAGACATAATACTTGAAAAACTCATATGTGGTGGCTGAGATTATGCTTGTAAATTTTCAAAACATTTTACGAGGAAAATATTATTAGCCTTTAGAAACTTTGTCATCATTTGGTCTTAATTAAAGGTATTACCAGAAGAAAATGTACAGTCTCTGGAGTTCCCCAGACAAGCCCCACCAGCTCCCCTGATTACTTCCAGAACCCAAGTTAATTCTCCCGTCAGGGCTGCTGCAAATGATGTACACACAAGTTGTGTCCAGCCAGGAGCAAGTGGGTGCAGCCTCATATTACAAGGGGGTTCCCTCCTCTTGGGAAAGGGAAAGGATTCCTTTTAAAATTCACACAGACGTGCAACTCTCGGGGGCC